TGATTTGTTGGGTTTTAGCATTTTAAAAGCGCATTCAAACTCTTCAAAAGTTAGTTCAAACGAATTAAATTGCGATGTATTAGGGATAAATAGATTACAACTTCGACAAGTTACACTTTTATCATATATAAACTTTATTTAAAACACAACTCATAAGTATTTTTAACAAACTTGTTAAAAACTTGTTTACTATCTATAGATTAGATCTTTATTAAATACTATTCTTACAGCATGTTTTTGATGTCGGTAGAGTGCCACTAGGTTGGATCTATGGGTACTTGTCCATGATATATTACCATACGTATAATAGGTTTGACTAAAAGAGAAATAAAGTTGCTTTAACTTTTTTGGGGTAATACCGGTCTAGCTTTGTAAAGCATACAAATGTTGCTTCTTATTTTAGTATTTAAAAAGTTTATGTGGGATTTCCATGAAATATTCTCATCGATAAGTATCCCTATAAGTTTTGTTGCTTTGGTTCTTTCGATAATTTTATTTTCTATTTTTAGAAATGGTAATATATTTGGAAAAGATTTTTTTCTTTGATAGGAATGGAATAGAATGTAGATGATTTTTTCGGTATTCAATGATAATTTGTTAGATTTAAACCAAGTATTAAGTTTTTCAAGTTTAATACTTGCATTTTCAAAGAGTTCTGTGATAGAAGTAGATGAATAAAATAAATTAGTATCATCTACAAACGTTACGGCATCGAGTTTATTTGAGACTTTTTGAAGATCATTGATGTATACCAAGAAGAGTAAGGGAGCTTAAATAATGGAACCTTAGGGAACTCCGCATTTAATTTTAAGCAATTTTGAATGGATACTTTTATCTGTAATAACAGATAAAAGTATCCATTCAAAATTGACTTAACAAAATAACTGTCTGTTTATAAAAAAGCTCTCAGACCATTGTAAAGCAACATTTTTAATGCCATATTTTTCCACTTTTTTAAAGTAATATAGCATGATCAATAGTATCGAATGCTTTTGATAGGTCAATAAAGATTCCTAGAACAAATTTGTTATTATCAAAAGAGTCTTTTATTTTATTTACAAGATCGAATATAGCATGTTCGGTTAAATGTTGCTTTTAAAATCCGAATTGTTTTTTATTCAAGATATTGTTATTAGTTAGATATTTATACAGTTTATTGTAAACTATTCGTTCTAGAAGTTTAGAAAGACTCTAAGGATTGAGATGGGTCTGTAGTTGTTAAGTGAAAATTTTTAATTTGTGTTTTAATTGTTCTTGTTGTAATTGAAGATTTAAAAATTTCGAATTTGGGTTCGAATATATGAATAACCTATCACCGGGAAGACACTTATTACTATGTTACTACAAATCTCATCGATCCCATGGTGCTTTGTTAATTTTCAGAGAATTTTTTGCATCATCGAGTTCATCATAACTTAGACCATTGAATTTTATGTAGATCTGTAAGATTTCAAAATAGGTATTTGGGCATTGAATTTTAAACGCCATGTTAGGGCTAATGTTTGCAAAGAAACTGTTGAAATGTTCGGCAATCGATCTTTTATCGTTGTATTATGTTTCATCCACAAAAAATTCTATTAGGTAAGGTATTTGCTTTGGTATTTTCCTTTTCGATAATTTCTTTTATGATGTCCCATGATTTTTTAATATCACCATTGGTATTTTGAAGTTGTCTTGAATAGTATATTTTTTTAGAGATTTTTCTTATTATTATGTTTTATTTTATTTTTCTTGATTATTTATTTATGTTATTTATTTACAAAATAATGATAAATAGTATTTTAATTTCGAATACTAAACATTTACATAGTTATGAGACAAATTAATTCGGATGAAACCGTAAAATTGTAAAAAAAGATTAAAGCTTTAGATGACTTTACTTTTTCTTTCTTATTTTAATTTTTTTTTTTATTTTTTTCTTTCTTTTTCTTGTGGCACCCCAGGGCCTCGTGTCTCTTATAGGCTGCAGCCTATGTTAGCTTTTGCCTAAATCCCCCATTGAGTTCATATACTTAATACTTGCCGACAAAATTTTGATGTGCAATCAACAAAATACATAGTGCTGCAAACATAAATAGTAACATAATTTATAACAACAAAATATTATCAATAATACCAATCTGTGACTTTTCTGTCAGTGAACAATACATAAAAAATTAGAAATTAAAAGATATACAAAATTATAAAATAAATAGTTTAACATTTATAAACTAATTTAGTTTGTTTACGTTTATTTAATACTACTTACGGTCAGCTAAAGATGGCCGCCAAAATTTATATAATTAGTTCACAGATATATTAGCCTGTAATTAGATGTAATAAGAGCCCCCCCAAAAAATCACGTTTTTAGTTACATTTGAATTTACCGTTGATTATAATAATCAATGGGAAATAAAATGTAGCCTACTAAAAATATGACTTCTTTGGGGGCAACAAAGTCCAAGCCTCAGTAAAGAAAAGACTTGTAATGATTCAGTATTACTAGATTAAAGTTCATTTTTAAAATTCAGGCAGTTAAATGGAATTCAACTAAACTTCGGTAGGTCAAATTCGAGTAATAAAGCCTTTGGTTTAGAAATAATAAATAAACCTAATAAAGCCTTTGGTTAAACAAAAGATATTAAAACATTTGATTTGGTCTTCCCAACTAGTATAACAAAATATTGAATTTTTGCAATTGTTTTTAGAAAAAACTGATTATTAGAAAGAAGAAATTAAAACACAGGTGCTTTATAACACTTCAAAATTGTATCAATCAATTAAACATTGTGTTAAACTCAGTAATCAGATAGTATAGCAAAGAAACAGTGATAAACAGATTAAAATAATTTGAAATGCAATTTTTAGGCTTGTTTAAAGCATATTTGGAGGTATTGGTTAATAATATTTCTAACTGGCGACAAAATGTTTTAATGCTTGAATAAGATTTAAACTATAAAAAATATCATTATTACTTGCTTGCACAATTGTATAATTAAAAAAGTTATATTAAAAACATGTCTTGTTATACACAGTGCATTAATAAAGTCAAAAAGTGTTATTAACTTCAGTAGAAGAAGCAGTAGCAGAGGCTGCACCATTAATGACATTCTTTGAGACAGAAAACCACAGGTATAAAAAACTTTCGTAAAGTATCCATGCCACAATTTCACATTCCATAACATTCAAAGAAAAATCAGTAACAGCTTTTATTAAAATACGAAATAAACAAGTTTTTCCTTTGTCATAAAGAAAAAACTTGTTTATTTAGTATTTATGAGAACCTGATGAACAATATAAAGTTTATGTGGTTCATCATAGTTCCTATTACGATTATCACGATTCTCAAGTATGTTTGGCTTTGTCAAACATCAAGTCGAACTTCACTTATCTTCGCTTATTGTATTCCACCTTTATATTTGAAATAATATAATATTGCAAATTGGTGTCAGTAATAAAAACATTAAGTTGCAAAATGGTGTAATTTTTCAAAGCATAATTGTTTTTTTTTTTCATAAAATGTTTTTTTTTTTACATATGCATATAAATATTTACTTAAATTCAACAAGAGTTTTTGAACTTACATGCTTGAACTTACATTACAACTTACAGTTTTGATATTTTAAATTTTGTCAGAAAACATTTTAAGATATTTTCGTATCTTCCTTGAGTTTTTGAAACAAAACTGTACTCACTGAAATAATTTTTTAATTGGTTGAAATAATTTGTTAACAAAACTATATTATAATGCACAAAAAAATTTAAGCTTTAGGTTTTTTTTTATAGATTTATGTAGTAGTTTTATGAAACATAAAAAAGAGGCCTAGAACTGCATAAAAACGCCTAAAATCAGTATTGGGAGATGTGTTTAATTTTTTAAATATATAAAATAACTTTCACTCATAATGCCACATTAATATTAGTCTTGTTTATAACTTTAGTGTTTAAAAAAATTTAAGCTAGTAACTTCGCGTAATGAACCACTGCCAGGTATTTTAGGTATTACGATCAATTAATTAAAAAATCCTTACTACCACTGCATTTGTAGTGCAGTAATACTGTATGTGGTAATTATGGAAGTAATCCGATAAAGTCCAGTTTATATTTATTATGTTTAATAAAATATGTGGTTGCTAAACAATTTAGGTATTCATAGCAAACCATAATTAAAACTAATGTCGAATAACATTATGTGATGTTTCGAATAACATCAGTCAATTCAAAAACGTTAATATGGTGAGGCAGGAAAAAACTTAAAACACTATTTTCATTGTTTTAAAAGTTATAATTTTGGACAGATAGTTTGACATTTTTGATTATTGTGCACTCTAATAAATTAAAAATGATTTATTCGAGAGAATTTAAAATTTCTTTCTATAAGCTTGAAAAAGTTAATATAGTGGGGGCAGGAGAAAACTTAAAACTCTATTTTCATTGTTTTAAAAATTTTGTAAATGGCCAGATAGTTTGAAATTTTTAGAGCATTGTGCACTCTAATAAATTAAAAATGAATTATTTGAGAGAAATTGCAATTTCTTTTCAAAAGCTTGAAATGTCTCGAAAGTTTTCTCTTTTATTAAAAGAAAAAAAGTCTTTAACGTTTTTTCTTATTTTTTTTTTAAAGTTTTCTATTAAACATGTTTACTTTTTTTTTCTTCTTAGTATTAACTGCAATACTAATAGTAAGTTAGATTAAACGTAACAAAGATAAAATATTAGCAATTTTATTAATGAGTAAAGCATGAAATAATTAAGAATTGAAAAATTGTTGCAATTATAATTAACATATTGTTCTTTTTCATTTTATTCTTTAATTTATGCATTAGTATAAAATCCCCAAAAAAGCTTAAAGCATTTTCAATAAACTCTATTTTTAATAAACTTTGACAAATACGTTAACAAATACGAAGTTTTAAATTACGTTAATCCGACAAATCATTTTTATCTGAAATTTGTTTATATAGTTGTATAGACAAAAATAGCTGCGCTTCTTCATAGTGTTTTATGTGCATAATTTTTAAAACTCTTTTTATTTTTGGAGACAGTGAGTTTAGACACTGTAATAAACTGAAAGCTTGCAAAGTTGCGTCTTATCATTAATCGCAGTGCTGTTAGAAATTTAAAAATATTACAATGGTAAAACAACACAATATAAAACTCACTATTAAGAATTCTACTCCTTTCGCTATGACTTTTATATCTAACTGGTTTGACTCGGGAAGAGTGGCTGATCAGTTTTCGTGGCCCAAAGAGATTTTGTCGAATGAAACCCAAACTATATTGTGTTATGAACGTGACTGGGCAATGAGTGGCTGTTCTGGCTATGTTCAATATCTAATGAATGGATCTTTAGTCACAATTGGGTTTTCAAATCCAAGTGTAGGAACTAACAAGTTAGGTGTAAGTGCTGGTGTTGATGGCAAACAAGTTAGTTATTTTTGTTCAAATATTCATTGTTATTATTACTATTATTATTGATGTTGTTATTAGTATTGCTATTATTATTGTTATTATTATATTATACCATAATTCTAATCTTGTTTAAAGTTTAATACTCGTTAAAACATTTAGTTTTTAAACAAAAATTACAGTATATTAATAACAAAACTATCAGCACGCAAAATTATTTAAGTAAAGTTGATTTTAAAAACGCGTAACTTTAACGCAAAAAAGTATTTTTAAAATAAAATTTAATTACTTTAACTAAAAAAAGTAATTTAAAAAGTTATTTAATTTTACTTGTAAGTGTAAATTAAAAAAGTAATTGAGTTTTTACCTACGAAAATAACGTAAAAACGGTTATTAATGAAAAATACATCACTAAAAAATCGCTAAAATAAATACTTTACTAAAATAAATTGCTTGTTAGAGCGAATATTATTTTTTGTTGTTGTTTACAAAAACTTTAACTTTACAAAAAGACAATTCGAACAAATTAAAAAAAAAAACAACTTAATCTTAATTTAATATAAATAGTATTACTATTATTTTTAAATTTAACAAATTTTATTTCTCCGTTATATAAAATAGATAAAAAACAACAACATTTTTTTGTTTCTATTTTCTTGGAGTTTTTTTCTCTTTTATTAGCTCGCAGCGATTTGTTTCGAGCAATATTAATTATTTTAAAAAAAAACAACTCTTATTCATAAGTGTTTACACGCAAAAAACAAGATTATAAGTAAGTACCTTCTCAAGCGTTCGAAGTAGATGCGTTTTATATTTTCGACTTTTAAATTCCACTTCAAAAATATTCCAATAATATTCCGCTTCTAAAATAATCAAGTTTTTTTTATTGTTTTTCTAATTATGCAAAAATGTAAAGAAAAATGTTTTCAAAAGATATGAATAAAAATGTTTTCAAACTAGTGGAAGAGACTATTCAAAAAATACTTGGATCAAAATAAAAAAAATGGAGTACTAAGTTTTCAGAGCTAGAAATAGCTTTCAAACTTAAGCAAGACGAAATGAGTTAAAACTGCAAGTTTTAACTGCAAGCTTTAACTCATTTATTTCGTCTCGCAACATGAAATTTAGTATTAAATTAAGTTCAAAGTTGCTGACCAGAATAAACTCGAAAAAGCCAATTGATCAAGATATAGTTATCAATTCAATACCTATTAAGCAACAACAAAAGAAGAATTGAGAAAACAATATAATCATTTTCTGAGTTGCGGAACCAAATAAAACAACTATAATTGACAAAGCAAATGACGAAATTTAGCAAATTAAATGAAATTCTTCATACTATAAATAAGGAAGAAATTAAACCTACTCGCGTTAAAAGATTGAAACCTCTAATAAGTAAACCAGCTTCAATTGTCAAAGAAATACCATATGAGGCTGATCGAAATCCAATATTAACTGCAGCAAGTAATTTAAAACGGAACCATAAGTTTGAAACCATAACGTATTTACCTGTCCTGACCAAACTGAATCAGGTAAATTATTAGATTTCCGACTGCGAACTAAACGGAATGAGTTAAATAGTTCTTTAAAAAAACGATATGGGATCCGGGAAACGAAGTTGTGAAGCTTATAGTATTACAACAACAACAAATGTAATGAATTAAAATGTTGGTACACTAACGCCACTTCTTTGGAAAACAAACTGGTGGAATTTGAAGCTTCTTTAAGAGTACAGGGAGTACTAAAATACCGGGACGCAAGACTTTAATTTTATGTAATTTTGACGAGAGGGCTGAGCAATTGGAAAAACGTAAAACATTTTTGAGACTATTTAAGGTGTAATAAGGAATAATAAGACGTTTCCTTAATTTGCTTTTGAATTTGTTAACTTATTAATTTAAAGTTTGAGCTAACAGCAATTAATTACGTTGAACTTTCTATCGGTTCTTTTTAAATGAAGTTAACATTACTTAGTTTTAACAAGAACAAAAAGTATATAAAATATAGTTGGTATAATTAATTTGTTTTTAATTTTGTCATATAAAAACAATAAAGTTTAAATTCTCTATAGAAATGTCTTGTAACATACTAATAATGTGTTGTAAACAAGTTTTCATTTCAATTTCATTCGTTGTTTTATTTTACTAAAGATTTTTAATTTTGCGGTCATTAATATTTAAAGATACTTTGTCTCAGCCATACATTTTTTTGCATTTTCTTCTTCTGAAATATCTATCGATGCAACACACATATTAAAATAACGAATATCATCTTCAATCACTTCTAAGTGACAACAATCTGATTAAGCAATGGAGTACATAGAAATCAAGAGCATTCAATTTGCTAAACAATTTTTAACGTTGTAAACGCAAACTATTTTAAACTTCCTCTATTAAAATATATTAAATGCCACCACAAAGTTGCCCAACAAAAGAAAATATCACAATTGGAGTTTATTCATTTAAATTGCCTTTAGAAAAATTTTATATACATAGGTCTATAAAAAAAAACGATCTTATTGTAGAAAATTTTGGATTTTATTGAATATTTTTACAAAATAATTATTATAATGTCTATAAAAAAATAGATATGCTATACGAAAAAATTAAATTATATGTATAATCCAAGTTCTCCTTCTGATCGCTTTGTCCGAAAAATCTCAGGGACATACTGATGATTTTCTGTCAACAATTTTCTGTCTAAATGTCCAACTTTTTTTTTTTTTTTAAAGTTGATTTAGGTGCTCCAAGAAGTCCTTACGGTCTTATCACAGAGCACCGCGGAAGAGCATTTAGTAGGAAGTTGACGCCTCCTTCCCAACCGATGTCGCAAAACTTGCCCAGAGGTGGGGTTTGAACCACGGATCTTACGTTTCTTACGAAGCAAGTGCGCTACCACTGCGCCACGGCTGCTTTATTATAAAGTGTACTTGACAAAATATAGCATAAAAAAACCTTATTATAAAGTGTACTTGACAAAACTTTTTTATTTTTCCTTGTAAACAATTTTTCGCTTTAACATTTAACTTAAACACTCTTATTCACAACTGCACACAAATGGGCTACATTTTAATGATTAACTGACCCTGGATTTGCATGAAAGATTTATCAACCTTACAACGTTGTTTTTTTCTTTGTGATATAAACTTACTTAAATACTGGATTAAAAAACACTTATTCAGCACGTATAACATTTACTGATTAGGATTAATAAACAGACTCTCTGAAATTATTATTAAAAGCAACCTTTTTTTTCCTTTTTCATCTTACATTATTATTTCATCTTACAACAGGGTTGTATCCAGAGTTGTATACAGAATTGTATTTATTTTTAACGTGTTTGTCTGATAGACGTACCTGTTCTAAAGTGACCCTACAATAATTTTTATAAATCAATTTAGTTTACTTAAAGGTCGTTCACCTTCTGCTATACAGGTTAGCATTGCGTTAAATTTAAATTAAAATGCATTTAGATTACATTATTTTTGATTAGGAAAACTTAAAGTTTTTCCAGAAGTGAAAAATGAAGACTCCCTCAAGCTATAAAGAGGCAAAATATCTTCCATAAAGTTGTCTTATAAATCATAATTTTAATTTTTACTAATCTTAACTTTTTCACAATCCTAGTTTTAAATTGAATTTGTTGAATGAAATGACAAAGCGCAATGTTAAAGATATTTACTTTAAGCTTATGTTCGGGGAACTTTTAGTAAAAAACTGCATTTTTAGAGGCTTGTAAAACATGATCTTCTATCAAGATGGACTACTGCTGAAAAAAATATCTTGAATTTTTATTTATTTATTACAATAAACAACAAAACTTTTTCATATTATTGGAACAAGATTGCTTCCGTTACCTCCAATATCAGCTCTGGCATTATTGATTAGTTTTTACGACCACCAACTTGTGTTACTCTGCACTTAGGACGTTTATTCTCAAATTACATCCTGGTTTACATAAATTTTATCAACTTTGCCGAGGCATTTAACACAGTGTCATAGAACTACTTTTTCATAAGGATTATGCCTATAGGCATGATTATTATAAAAAAGTCGTTGTATGATACTTTGTTGGGTGTTGAGATTTTGTGCACAGGTTTTCATAATCCTATCTATAACAGTTCTTTCGTCACCTTGCACGGAATAGGTGAGAGACACTAGCTTGTAGTATTAAGTCTTGACTTTGATTCTTTTTTTGAGAGTAGGTGTGACATTTGATTCTTTTTTTTTGAGAGTAGGTATGACATTTGATTCATTTTTTGAGAATAGGTGTGACATTTGATTCTTTTTTGAGAGTAGGTGTGATATTTAATTCTTTTTTTGAAAGTAAGTGTGACATTTGATTTGCGTTGAGATTTTTTTTTTAAGGTTAAATCTTAGCAAATAAAATTAATTAATTTTTTTTTAGTTTTTCTTTTTAAAATTGAGATTAAATTTTCTTTCAGAATAATCGTGAAAGTACGTATGAGATTTTTTTCTTAAATAACTTGACAAAATTTATCTTTAACAATAAAATGTTTTGTTAAGATCTAGTGTCTACTCAAATTCCGTCAATATAAAAAATAAGTCAATGTTTACTTTTTTGTCCCATCAGTCAACGAAAAGATATAAATTATTTAAAAATATAATTTTTTTATAATATAAATAAAAGAAAGCTATGTCCATCACCAAGTAAACTTATTTAATATCTCATCAATAAAAACAATTTTTTTTTTTTTGTAATTAAAATCTCATTAAGTTTTTTTTTTGTCTTCCATCATCTGGCGCCCCTATTATTGTTGGCATGTATGCACCTTTTGTACATCCCTCTCGGCGGCCCTGCTCGGTACTATTATAGCTTCCACGAAAATTACCCACTAAACATTTACTAGGCATGTCTCAAATTATTTTACAAATTTACTTTTGCTTTTATGTTAATATTCTAAACTAAGTTTACTTCATTTTACTAAATTACATATAATACAAAAATTGAAATTAAAACAATATTATATACAATTTTATTTTAACTTAAGTTATAAA